TGTGAGACTTTTCTGGGTTACTCATTGTCTTCATCGTCCTGCTTATGAGTTTCTGAACAAATCACTCAAGCCTTTGCTGGTCACTTTACCTAGAATAGCTGTCATTCCCTCTCTCACACATTATTTTATTTTCTTTACCATACATATACCTGTTTAAAGTTCTTCTTTATTTACTTGTTTGCTTGTATATTATGCTACATGATGACAGAGACCATCTTTCCCTTTTTTGTTGGTGTGTTTATCACCTGTGAAAGCACCTAACAGACAATTACAAAATAGTTGTTGAGTGAATGAATGAAAGCCAATGACTTGACCTGGGGTGTTTGCATTTTGAGTTCTATTTTTTAAAGTTTGAATGCATTGTGTATCAGAGGAATTTGTAACCAAAGAAGCAGGTGGAGAAGGGCTTATTCTGTTCTTTGACATGCTTCTATGCATGTTTTCCAGTTCTGTTCACATATCACATTGTTTAAATATTGAACCCGTGCAAAGACTCATTCAAAAGGGCAGAAAAGGATGATGTCTGCTCACGATAAACTTCAGGAATACTTCCTTTTAGGGTATGGAATTTAGAATGGACAAATTTAATCACTGACTATATGGTTTATGACAATTAATTCATTCTGCAAATATTTATCAGGTACTCTGGTAGGTGTTGAAATACAGTAGTGACCAAAATAAACATGAAACCTATAGAGGAGACACAAATTAAACAGTCACAGTACTATGGCAATGAATATATTATTAGGAACTATGGTTATTTCTATACAGAAAATGTATAAAATGTTTTTAGTGCATGTAACCATCAAGGGGGTCAGAGAATATTTCACTGAGGAAGTGACCATTGAATGGAGATTTGAACTAAGCTAAGAGGAAAGAAACTTTTTTTTCTTTTTGTGAGTTGAGGTCTTACTCTGTTGCCCAGGCTGGAGTGCAGTGGCAAGATCACAGCTCACTGTATCCTCGGACTCCTGGGTTTAAGCAATTTTCCTGCCCCAGCCTCCTCAGTAGCTGGGACTACAGATTGCACCGCCGCACCCAGCTAATTTTTTTTTTTTTTTTTAGTTTTTGTAGAGTCAAGGTCTCACTGTGTTGCCCAGGCCGAAAGAAACTTGATGGAAGCAAAAGAAAATAAAGGGAATAAATAAAAGAAGCCCCAACATGACTGAGGTGAAAAGTGAGAGAGTGGCTCTGGAGAGGTAGTCAGAAGCCAGATCAAAGATACAGTACGATGACAAACAGAAACAAAGAGAACAACAACATTAAGAACCCAAGTGGGTTTTGGAGTAATACTAACCCTAGGTTCCCACATGAGCTTTGTTGCCTGTCAACTGTGTAACCTGATCAGCTTTCTCATTGGTGAAAACAAACCTGATTGAGTTACTGTGAATATTACATGAGCTTGTCCCCGATACATGTCAGATATACATGGCATAGCTAGAGTACTTCTAGGTGTTTTATAGGCCTTCTGTGTTTATTAGCTGCTGGTCACCCCAACTTTAAGCAAAACAGAAAAATAATCACTAGTTTTGGAGATTTATAGCCTGAAACCAACCAACGGTTTAAAACAGGAAATTAGTCAACATTTTTTGAGCACCTAGTAAGTTTGGCTTTGTTCAGCTAAAATCTATTTTTGAGCACATACTTTGTACAGGATATAAAGTATGACTTTGACGATGCAAGAATGAGCCATCTTGAAGCTAATGATTAAATGGATAATTTTATAACAACATTATGGATGATCTAATAAAGGTACATTCGGCATGTATTTCGATAAAGAGAAGAAAGGGAATGAAATGAAGAAGAAGAAGAAACCATCAGGAGAGGTTATGGAGGGGAGAAAGTTATGGCCAGTAACCCCCTGAGGAAGGTGGAGAGAGAGAGGAGAGAGATGACAGGAGAGAGAGAGAGAGAGAGAGAGAGAGAGAGAGAGAGAGAGAGAGAGAGAGAGAGAGAGAGAGAGAGAGAGAAAGAAAGAGAGAGAGAGAGAATATTATAGGGTTCTTCTGCCAAAAAGAAAAAACTGTTAGGAGAGGATGGTTCCCCAAGACAGTCTGGGCCTCAGCACTTCTTGAGTGGCTGCTTACAGAGAGCTCAGGCCCTAGTGGATCACAGTTGTGAACTAGTGCTAGACTATAACCAAGACCAATGTCGTCAGGATCCACCTAGGTGCTTCTTTTGCTAGGCATGTTTTTTAGGGACTCATTTATGAAGACTCAGTGTTGCTGCTGCTGTCAGTGACTAGGCACACTGAGACACCTTATCTAAATCAGTACCATGAAACCATGCTCTTCATCCTTTTTGATTGTAGATCGTCTTCCCCCCTGTCCCCATCATTGGACCACTTGAGTCTTCTGTGTTTGATTTGCTTTGGCTCCATTCTCTTCAGGCAAACTATCTGAATATTTGATTTTTTGGGGGGGGGTCACTTTGGGTGGATCAGTGTTCTACTGCTTAGAAATTGTCATAGAAAGCTTCTGTTTCCTTAAAAAAAAAATGCCTTGTCCATTTCGTTCTCTTACTCCTTTCCCATTATTGCCCATTAAAATCTTACCCATCCTTTAAGAGCCTGATCAGATGCTCATGTCTCCATGAAGCCTTCTCTATTCACTCCAGCTTAAAGGGATTTCTTCTCTCTTTATAATTTTGTGTTATATATTATTTCTAACAGTGGATCCAATGCTTGGTTGATTATTGGTTACTGGAGGAAATTTTATTTTTTAATAAACTTTTTATCCTAGAGTAATTTTATATTTACATAATCATTATAAAGATAGTATATAGAATTCCTGTATATTCCATACTTAATTTCCTCTATTATTAACATATTATATTAGTATAGTACTTTGTCAAAATGAATGAACTTGTATTGATATATTATTATTAACTGAGGTCTATTCTTTATTCTGATTTCCTCAGTTTCCTCCCAATGTCCTTTTTCTGTTCTAGAATCCCATCCAGGACATAACATTACATTTAGTCATTGTGTCTCCTTATGCTCCTTTAGCTGCGATAGTTTCTCAGACTCTCTTGTCTTTGATGGACTTGACAGTTTTGAGAATTATTCATGGGAATCTCATAGAATTTCCCTCAGTTGGGATTCATCTAATGATTTTCTCATGAGTAGACTGGGGTAACAGGTTTTGGGAGGAAGACCACGGAGGTAAATGCCTTTTTTATGACATTACATCAAGGACACATGCTATAAATAAGACTTAACAAAATTGAGGTTAATGTTGATTATCTGACTTGAAAAAATATCAGATTTCTCCACTGAAAAGTGACTTTTATTCCCTCCAATACTGTACTGTACTCTTTGGAAGAAAGCTACCATGTGCAGCCATATGTTAAGAAATTAATGGAGGAAATTAATAAAGCATTCCTTTATTTCTTTAAGAGCAGATTATCTACAAAAGTTATTTGGAATTCTTTTGCATGGGAGATATGCCTATTTTCTCCTTTTGTTCACTCAATTATTTATTTATATCAGCATAGACTCACAGTTATTGATTTTATACTTTGGGTTATAAACCAATACTACTTTATTTTGTTGTTCAAATTGTTCCGGTTTTGATTATTGGGAGCTCTTTCAGTTGTCTCCTGTATAGGAGCCATACATATCCCCATCATCTTTTTGTATGTACACTTCCAAATTTCTGGCACTAAAAAAAAACTCAAAGGTCACCTTGTATATTTCTTGCCCTGATCCTAGAATCAGCCATTTTTCTAAGGAACCCTTGTCCCTTTTATTGAAAAGCAGTATTAGAAACCAAGATCTGGGTACTAGGTTTGCTTATTGCTACTGGGGAGTCATTGCTTCTAAGCCCTCTCAGCTGATAGAAGATATGTGTGAATACTAACCCATGTACATACACAGATCTATAAATATTTTCATATGTAACTATCTATATCTCTATTAAGGTAAAATGAGTTTATACTGATGTCTTCAAAGGTAATCTGTTATTACATGGATCATTCTGGGGACTTTTTTTTTTTTTGAGTTGGAGTCCCACTCTGTCGCCCAGACTGGAGTGCGGTGGCACGCTCCCAGCCACTGCAGCCTCAACCTGCTGGGCTCTGGTAATCCTTCTACCTCAGCCTTCCAAGTAGCCAGAACTACAGGCGTGTGCTGCCACACCCGGCTAATTTTTTATTTATTGTAGAGATGAGTTCTTGCCAAGTTGCCCAGGCAGGTTTCAAACTTGTGGGCTCAGACAATCCACTCGCCTCGGCCTCCCAAAGTCCTGGGATTATGGGCTGCGCCACCGAGCCCGGCCAGGACTCTTAAAAATAAGGAATCCCAGATACCACACCAGAATCATGACAAATATTTAGCTTATATATTCTGAAAGGTAAACACTTTAAAATTATGGAGTGTAGCCGGGCTTGGTGGCTCAGCCTGTAATCCCACACCTTGGGAGGCTGAGGTGAGTGGATTGCCTGAGCCTGCGGGTTCGAGGCCCGCCTGGGCAACTTGGTGAGACCTCATCTCTACAATAAATCAAAAAATTAGCTGGGCATGGTAGTGCCCGTCTGTACTTCCAGCTACTTGGAAGGGACAGAGTGAGACTCCAACTCAAAATAAAATAAAATAAAATAAAATAAAATTATGGAGTGTTTTTTGATTGACTACTGGAATAAATATCAAAATTATGAAAACATCAGTTGACATTATACACATAAGTTTCACTTTGCCACTATTTACCAGTTAGGTAAGTATTTTAGTAAAACTTTGTCACCTAACTATACTTTTACTAATTTTAATCTCATAAGTGTACAATCTAATAGGATTTGTCAATTTTTATATTAGGTGTTTGTTAGATGTATAATACCATTTAACTCCCAAAGTCTATGATTCCAAGTCCAAAATACAGCAGTAAACACTGCAGGAACACTAAATTAACTGTAAAAATTGTGGTCATTTGTGTCGGTGGTATCTGTCTCACTAATGTCCTCTCCTCTTTCTGTTTTCTTGCATTATTGGTGGGCTGCAGACTTCAGTTCCAACACCATCTTCTGAGATGCTCCTGATTCCAAGAATGCTTTTGGTGCTACTCCTGCTGCCGCCTATCTTGAGTTCTGCAAAAGCTCAGGTTAATCCAGGTAATACAGCATTACTTAGCTACATGCTAGAAGAACAGTGGAACATTCAAGCCTATCAATGTTCATCTTGGGAAAAGCCTTGCCAAGAGAGTCCAGGAGCTCTTTCTTTTTTTTAATCTCCATGGTGAAAGATGACCAAACTAGGAACAAAAACTAATATACTTTATGCACATATATTTTATATATTTAATCTGTGGAATATTGGGGGAGATTTTCTGATAGGGAGTTGAATGGAGTAAGAGGGCATTTTTAAGAAATAGGGAACAGAAGTAGCTGCCACTTGCTTCTGCATCCTCTGGGAAAAACAGGAGAGAATTTTAAAATGCCTTAGAGAATTTCTGCAGGCTGGTTTACTCATTGTTTCTGGCTGCTTAGGCTTGGATTTTACTTGGATGTCTTGTTATGTTTTTCGGACTTTTGTCCTGTGGGATCTCAGACAGCCTCTTGTTCCTACAGGGTGTAGGAAATAGATGTGTTAGGAGAATCTTTGGAGTCAAAATTTTGTGGGGTTTTTTAGTATTACATGTATTTTTTTAAGCTTTAAATCGAAATATACAATTATATCATTTGTCAATACAGCAGTAAAGCTGTTTAACATCCTATTCAAAGCTTAACGCCTCAAAACAAGCATGCATTTGGTTCATGGTTAGGTTTGGTTGGACTTTTCTCTGGTCTGTCTTGATTTACTCATGTATCTTGGAGTCAGCTGTCTATTGGCTCATCTGGAATGACCTTGGCTCTGTTGACTGGGGCAACTTGGCTGTGCTCTGTTTTATCCTCCAGCAGACTAGCCTGGGTATGTTTTCTTGGAAATTGCACAAGAACAAGAGCAGAAGCAGGAACATTCAAACATTTTTTCAAGCCACTGCTGGAATCGTGTTTGCTAAGTCTAATTGGCCAAAGCAATTCACGTGGCCAAGCCAGAGTAGACAAGCACAAAAACATTGCGTGGTAAAGTTCTGGGATACAGGGATGGGTGAGGAATTGGAATTTTTTTTTTTTATTCTGTTACAAATATAAACATAGAAAAGTATACATAGTTTAAGTGTTTGATTTGATTAATTTTAAAAACTGAACACATCCATCTAAACAATAACCAGATTAAAAAGAACGGTAACATCATTTTAGAAGCCCTCATGTTCCCTTCCAGACACTTCTCCCCACCCACACCCCAAAGGTAACCATTATCCCGCTTTCTAACAGCATAGATTAACTTTTCCTGTTTTTGTTTTTATATAAATGGAATCATATGCTGTATAAATACTCTGTGTCTGGCTTCTTTCACTTGACATTTTGTTTATGAAATTCATCCTATTGTTGCATACAGTTGTAAACTGTTCATTCCTATTGTTGTATAATATTACTCAGAATGTTTTATTGTGCCAGTTTACTATAGATGGGAATTTGGATAGTTTCAAGTGTGGGCCCGTTAGGAATAAAGTTCCTATAATAATTTTTGCATATAACTTTTGGTAGAGATATATACCTAGTTCCCTTGAATATATGTGTACCTAGAAGTGGAATTTCTGGTTTGTATGTAGCATATACTATACTATTCTGCATAATGTCAAAGAATTTTCCAAAGTGATTTACCAATTTACCATCCCACAATGGTATATAAGACTTCCAGTTCCCTGTAGTGTTTGGATTCTTGAGGGTATTTTTGGTTTGTCATCTTCATAACATAAGGCTATATTTGTGAAAATGCTCACTCTCCTCCCTTCACAAAAATCCCATGTCCATGGGCTACCCTTTTTACTCTTAGTAGGAAATATGATAAAAACTCCTTAAAATCAAATAATTATTGGTTGAGTAAGTCCAGTGCCTTGTTGCTTTCTCATAATCAGCTCAGTTGACACATCTCAGATCTGAGTTTGGATACCATTCTTTCTTTTTTTCTGTTCTGTGTTCCTCTTGCCCAATTGTTGAGATTTGATTGCCTTCTACCACATTCTCCCTGCTCTGAGCTCCCAAGAAGAGTACTGTGAGTGCATAGAATGGTAGGATGTTCTGGTGATAGACACACTCATGGAGACTGACATGCTATGAGAACACTTATATGATTAAACCAAGAGAGGTAGCCTTCTGTGTTAGAGTACACATAGGAATTCGGCTGTCTTGGAGCAGGAATTAGGCTGTCTGAAGACAGCAAATAGTCACCTTTATTTTTTCTTCCTTTCTATTTTTGGTGTCAGGTATTTCTGTTGGCTGTTTCTGACAGGAAAAAATAAATAGATATTTTAACTTGCAAAGATCTTTATAGGAAAACAAAACATATTGAAGGAATAATCCTTTCCTCTGGCATTTCTTCCTGTTTTACCAAGTTAAACTAGAGACAAGAGTTTGAGGCAGATGATAAATTTTCATTCGTTTGATGTTAAAGGATCTAGCAATGAAGCGTGGGGCTCATGGAATTGTATAGTTTGCACACTATTCAATTCAGTACTCAGTAGTTATATAAAAAATGTACGTTGGCGTTAAGAATGACCTTTAGGAGGTTTACTAGTGTTTACCGAAAGACTGAAGGTCTTTCTGTAAACTGAAAGTATTATACAGAAAGGTAACTGAAGGTCCTGAAAAACTGAATACCTTCTTGACTCAATAGATTTTCCTACAGATTGGCCATTTGGTATAACAAATAGATCTTAAGCCAGGAGACCTGGGTTAGAAGCAAATTCGATATATAGTCAATTGTTAAAATTTAATTAACTTTAACTAAAATATATCCATAAATTAACTTAAATATATTTTTATTAATTAGTGGATATAGAATATTGTTTGAGAAATAGTAACTGGGCTAAGCATTACATTCAATTAATAATATGAAATTAAACAAACTTATTAGTTTAAGCTCATTGCTCAAGATTTCACAATGACTATTGGTCAATGAGCCTTCCGTGCTAGCATGACTTAATTGATAACAGAGATACTGAATATATAAAAATATCAGTCTGGGTGTTTCAGAAGACACCACAAGAGATGAGTAATCTTGTTGATATTTAAATAAATTATCTATGAGTTGAGGCCATAAATGTGCTACAGGTGTCATCCCAGGGATGCTGCAGAGTAGTGGTGGTATGATATACTGGGGGGATTCCCAAAAAACTGGAACTTATTTATAAAAATTGTGTATTTTTTCTTACATGTTTAAACTTTCATCATCTTCAAAGTATTCTTTGTTTGATGCAATACACCTATTGAGATGCTTTTTCCTCTGCTCAGAAGTTTTTGAACTTGTCAATTTTGATGCCTTCTGCTGTTTTTGTTTTACCTCTTCCACTGGCAAAATGTTTCCCTTTAAGGACTTTTTTTAATCTGGGGAAACAAAGAGAAGTCACTAGGGGCAAAATCAGGTGAATAGGGAGAGTGGGGCCCCAAGGGTCATGCTGTTTTTGGTAAAAACAAACAAATAAGCAAACAAACAAACAAACAAACTGCTGAACACTCAGCTCGGTGTGGGCAGGTGCACCCATAAATCATCTATCATAAAATGGGCATTGAAGATTCTTTAAAAAAAATTCACTGAAGCTAAACGCAGTCTCTCACAACAAGGTTAGCTTGTATGCTGATGCCTATGGGCTCCTAGAACACTTACCTAGTGAGGAAAGTCTGTACCATAAGGGGCCTGCCCTCCAAAAAATAATTCCAGGGTTTTTTTGGTCCTCCCTCAAGGAATGAAGGCAGCAGAACTGTTGACCCAAGGCTCCAAAGCATCTGAGTTTTGGGTTATGGCAATATTGAAGGTGGCATTGTCAGTGGTGGCTGCAGGGTAAGCTATGCAGGTCTTCATGGGATGTGCTGACATGCAGGTATGTGTACATAGTCCTGAGATGTGGGCAGTGTTCTTAGCTGTCTTCCAGCTGCAATAGTGCACCAGGAACTGGACCCTAATTATAGTTAACCCAGTAATGAAATTATTGAAATAATTTGAGGCAGTTTCTTATGTCCAAATTGTGATTCAGGAGTATTATTTAGGTAGTGACATCCAAATCAGACAAACAATTACACCAACAATTTCTGAAAACCATTCTCACAAATCAACTAATGATTTGGATGTTATTAGAATATTCTGACAAATGATTTAAAGTTAATTTAGAAAAAAGTATTTAGCTTACTTATTTTGAGTAACAATCCTAGTTATTATCTTAGCTTGGTCATCATAAGTTGGTTGTGTGACATTGAGCATGTTGTTTTATGTCTTCTTGTATTTCCTTAATCTTTTCATCTGTAGTAAAATGAAGTTAGATTAGATAATCTGTGAGAGCATTTCTGCTGCAAAATTGTGGTGACTTTAATATTAGGGAGTTTTCCTGCCCATACTGGAAGATTTGATGGGCTTTGAGCTCGGAAGCATAGCCCCTGAACTTACATGGCTATTCTTGGTAAGAAAGACCACTTGTTTTCAACTCCTTGCCATGTTCTAGGCTTAAGGATAGGAGATCTGAACTTCTGGAGAATCTTGCCTTTGGAGCTAAGCATATAGGAGATGATTGATAAATATTTTTTGAATTTAAACCCTAAACCTCTCCCTAGTGGCAAGTAAGTGCAGAAATCGTGTCCCAGCCTGTAGGAGCTTTCTAGTACTAGAAGTCATCCTGCTCTAGAGACATTTTTTACCCTAGAGGTGGGGCCCAGAAGAAGCATTTCAGGAAGAAAAAAATAGCATATGTAATGATTAGGAGAGGGAAAAGTTACACGTGGGGATCCTGGCAGAGGATAATGAGTAAGAGAGTCAGAGGGACTGTGTAGGGGACCCATTCTCCTATGGTGTCCTTGGGTCAAGTCTTCCCTCATTTCCAGCTTCGACCTGCTGAACTTGGTAGGAGAGCAAAGGGTATCTTGGTAGGAGAGCAAAGGAAAGTCTTTGGACTCTACAATCATGTGCAAGAATACACTGGGTTATAATAACTGTTTGACTAGACACCAGAGTAGGCTCCTCTAGAGAGCTATGAAACCATTGTTTCAATGGCCAATGGGGAAACCAGCACCTTATGTTTTTC